GTATTAGTAGTTGTAGTAGTTAGAAGAGATATTTTATTGTTATTTGTTGGTGTCAGAGAAGTTAGAGGAGAAGTAAATAGGTTTTGGAGTTGTTGTTGTTTTTAGAAAGTAGCAGTTGAATTCTTTCTGATAGAAAGAAAGTTATAAGTTGCAGAGAATATAGAACTAAAGTTAGTAGAAGAAGCTATATTGTTAGTGTTATTTCTTAGGAAGTTGATATAGTAGTATATTTTATTTTTATAGAAAGTAGTATCATTATTTAGTTTATAAATATTGTTAGTAAGTTTCATTTGATTACAAGCCAATATTTTGGACAAGTATATTAGCAAAAGTTTGGTGTTAGGAATAGTAAGATGTTTTCAGAGCTTTCAGCAAGGTTTTGTATAAAGATTCTAATTTTTTTATTATTTATATTTGCTATATAAATTGTAAAGTTAGAGAGAGAGATGTAATATTCTTTATTAGTTACAGAGATAAAGTTAGTATGGTAGAAGCCAAATAAGTAGTAGACAGTTGCAGAAGTTTTAGAAACAAGTACAAAATAAGTAATTTTTGTATTACTTCAGAGGATTTTAGTAAGACAAGTTATTAGTTTACTTTTAGGAAGAATTGGAGAGATATTTTTCAGATCTTCTTCATAGAAAGCTACTTCAAAGCTATCAGGATACTTCCTGTAGAAGTAGTTTAAGTCAAAAGTATCTGGTATTCACCTGTTAAAGTAGGCATTGTTAGAGAAAAACTTAAGTGAAAGATATATAATTTGGAGGTGTGACAATTAGGAAAACAAAAGTTAGTTAATTGAATAAGTGATGTAAAAAGTATTGGATATGATGAATAAGAGAATATGACAAATAAACTATGTCACTAGGTGATAATTAAGGAGTATAATAAATATTATTTTATCACAGATATGATATAATAATTAGAAATATATTATAGGTTTAACATGATATAGTTGTGTTCTGTGTTTAACCAAAAATAGTTTGTGTTTAATTAATTTATAAATAGAATTTTTGTATAGAGCTAATTTAGAAAGTTATATTAATTTAATTTGTAATCTTTTAAGGTTGTGTTTAATTAAAATCAATTTAATCTGGGTTTTTAATGTAAGTCAATACAAGGTTTGAATTTTACAAATTTGAAAATTAGTTGGATTATCAAAAATAATAATTTGGAACAAAGTAGAAGTTTTTTTATTAGGTGAATTTTTATATTTTAAATACTAGAGGACTTAGTTTTAAAGATATTTAAGTAAAACACAGCTTGTTATGACTGGGAGGACCAGGTCAATAACTTTACTTAAAAGCCCAAATGAGGTTTAGAAAGTAGATTTTGAATAAACCTCAAAAGTTTGAAGTTGTTTTTTACTTTTGTATTTTTGATAGTAAGTTGTTAGAAAGAAAACTAAAAATTTTGAAATTAGGCTGCCTAGATGTGAAATCTAGTGCTGAGTAAGTTTGCTTAAGGGTACTTACTCAGTTTATTTAATAAAAAGTTGAAGAAAATTAGTTTTTGTAAAAAAATTTTTTGGTAAGGTTTTGGTACAAGTGATATCATTCGCAAGTGCATAGACACTGATAAAACTGATAAGTGAATAGGAAAAGAAAATGGGCATTACAGTCATTCGTGACCTAAAAAGAGCAGCTGAAATATTCGAATTTGTAATCGAAGGAAGATCCATCGATGATATTATTAAAGAAAGTAAATATTATCGACACCCTGATTCAGCTACTATTTCTTATGCTAAAATAGCGGAAGAAACGATTGGGAAAATTTCAGATAAAGCTCTCGATATTGGTATTGTTGGTGCAGGTCCAAGCGGAATATGCGCACTTTACGAACTTAGTAAGATTGACCATGATCGAGAGATCAATGTTTCACTCTATGAATGTGATGATCGCAACTTCATCTTCGAAAGATTTGGTGGTTTGGTCCACACAAGAGCAGGACGGGTATCTTCGACTATGACTAATAATGATGCAGTATATGAGATTGGTGCCATGCGTTTTCCAGACATTGCCGGCCTTACTTGGTACTATGCTGGAGAACTTTTTGGCAAGGACACATTGGTAAAACCTTTTCCAAATCCAGGAGCAGTTACAACGGAATTCGTTTCCGGAGATCGAGTTGATCATTATAAAGGAAATCATTGGGAAGATAGTAATTCCCCAACACTAAAGGTAAAAGAACTGGTTGGAAACGAGCTATGGAAAGGTGATTATTATAAAATTGGAGATAAAACTCCAGAAGAAGTTAGCTGTTACCTAAAAGGGAAAGATACCCCACCTGATACTCTAAGAAAAATACACGATGAATGGAAACAATTTGTTGCCGACAATGATGGTACGACTTTGGGATCCGCAGTCCACAAAATTATTTCTTATTCAATCGATAAACTTCCGGATATAAATGGATTAAGCTCACCAGCAGAAAAAATAAATTACTACTTTGAGCTATTTGGTCACTTTGGTTTTGGGACAGGTCCTTTCAAGCCAGTATTCAATATGTCACTAGTGGAAATGATGCGCCTTCTCCTCTGGAATTATTATGCAGAATACCTCTTTCCTGTAAAAGAAAACACTGAATTTATTCGTAAACTTTACAGTAAAGCTAAGGACGCAAAAAATTTTAATATTCATCCAAAATATGTAAAAGTATGTGATGTTTTTCATCGAGTGGATGAAGGAAAACCTGCCGGAGTTGCATTTTATAATTTAGAAGATAAAAGAAACGAACCAGTCAATATTCCGAACATTGAATATCACGATTATATTATCCTAGCTATTCCACAAGTACCTGCCACCCAGATCACTAGTCGATTTGGGAGTACCACTGTTCCTATTAAGGATGGAAAAGTTGGAATCCCCAGCATTGGAATTAGACAGATAGATGAAGATATTCTCCCTCCTTTAATGCTTTCTACCAAGAATGGAGAGGAAGCTGCTAATACCCAACTGACAGCAGCTATTGACGGCTTGCATATGACACGTAGCGCAAAGGTATTTGCGACTATAAAGACAATAGATGCGAACATAGCGCCTAAATTCGAAGGAAAGCCAATTCAAGCTGTACTATCTGATTGTGGGCTGGCATCAAGCTATATAGTTCCAAATGCAAACCCAGAATATGATAGCTTTCTTGTGAGCTATACATGGGAGGATGATTCAACAAGACAACAATATGATTATTATAATTCAAGCAATTCCGATGAAATTAAATCTACTGTAATTAATACTGTATTTGGCAAAATTGTGGATCGTTCATATCGTTGGATACGAGATGTTAGCAATAATGATAATAAATATATACTTTGGTGGTTGCATGATTTTTTGGGACGCGTTAATGATGACAAGTTTTTTTTTGATTGGTCAGCACAAAGCTCCGCAGGAGGATTCAAACTTGATTTGACTAAGGGTCACTACCAAAGCGATCTTTGCTTTCGATATCATACACATGCTGCTTCGGCACTAAATAACCGTTTCTTTCTTGCCAGCTGTAGTTTCAGTCATTTAGGAGGCTGGCTTGAAGGTGCTTTTATGAGTGCCATAAATGCTGTTTCAGGGATTGTAGTTTCCGCCAATGGCGGCGGGCAAGAAGGAATTAATGCGTTGAATTCTGAGGCACAAAAACTGTTTACTTCTCCTCTAACTTCTCTGACACCAACAAATAACAATAAAATATCTCTTCTAACTACTACAACTACTAATAC